AGAGAGAAAGAAAGAAAGAAAGAAAGAAAGAAAGAAAAGAAAAGAAAAGAAAAGAAAAGAAAAGAAAAGAAAAGAAAAGAAAAGAAAGAGAAAGAAAGAAAGATTGTATCACCGAAGTAACTGGTGGGCCACCAGACCAGCACGTCTTCCCTGGCACAAGCCTAGAGAAGGGATTGTCTCTCCCGAATAGTCCCCCAGAGGCAACCACTGGGTATCTCCCTGAAGGATGTACTTGATGGTCCCCTGTTCCTGTTTCCCCTTCTGCGGTATCTGATCTCTCAGCTGAGGACTATTATTCTAATGAAAAACACTTCCAGGAAATCAGTCCAAGACAGATTTAATTTGATGTGGAAAAGAATTTCAAATGCACATTATGTCCATCGGAAATTATGACCAGCTTTAGCTTTCAAGTACCCAGATCTGAAGATGCCACAGCGCTTTGAAGGACACAGGGAGGAGTACTTCCTTGTTTTTTGGGTTTGGTTGTTGTTGTTTTTTTTTGTTGTTGTTGTTGTTGTTGTTTTCTTTTTTTTCAGGAAAAACTGAAGAAGAAAAAGAGGAGACATCCTTCCCCTCCTCCCAGGGAAAAGCCGGTTCTGATCCACATAATCACAACCTTTGCACGGGCCGTGCCTAGCTGTGCGCTGAAGCCACAAGGCTACATGTGGCTGCTGGAGGCTGCCTGGAAGAGCCCAGCCTGCACAGGAAGAGTGCATCTGGTCCCCAGAGGTCACCTCTCTCAACCCACACTCTCCTATAACACTCCCCTGCCCAGGAGCCCTCGGCCTCCCCACCTCAAAGCTCTGAGCTGAGAATCGAGACATCCCCAACCCCTCTTCACGTGACTTTCCAAATCCAGTCCCCGCATGCGCCCTCAACAAACCATGCCTTGTATCCTCCAGGTTTGTCCAAAGCGGGTCACCAGACGACACTTCACCGAGCTGCGGCCAATCCTTCTCTCCGCCCCTACCACCCAGAAGGGGACAATTTCTAGAGCAAAAAGGGACCTAATCAGCACAGTACCTAAGTTCCGGGATAATAAAATAGAAAGATTAGATGTACTTACGTGCCACTGCCTCTCATCTCTCAGTTTTTCTTTTTTTTTTTTTTTTTTTTTTAAATTTTTTTTCAACGTTTATTTTTGGGACAGAGAGAGACAGAGCATGAACAGGGGAGGGGCAGAGAGAGAGGGAGACACAGAATCGGAAACAGGCTCCAGGCTCTGAGCCATCAGCCCAGAGCCTGACGCGGGGCTCGAACTCACAGACCGCAAGATCGTGACCTGGCTGAAGTCGGATGCTTAACCGACTGCGCCACCCAGGCGCCCCTCTCTCAGTTTTTCAAGACCCAACCTCAAGGTTCTTCTTAGTTGCGCTTCCTGTGTGCTGGGCTCAGAGGATACACAGTCAGATCAGGCAAAAGTTCCTGCCCTAGAAATTCACATTGGTGAATGCACCCTGGCGCACGCTCTCTCTCCGTTTATACATTTTCTTATTGTGGCAAAATATATATAACAAAATTTGCCATTTTAAGCATTTTTAAGTGTTCTATTCAGGGGCATTAATTATATCCACAGTGTTGTGCAATCATCACCACTGTGTCCAAAACTTTTCGTCATCCTGCACAGAAACTCTGTACCCATTACGCAATAGCTCCCCCCCACCCCAGCCCCTGGTAACCTCTACACACTTTCTGTCTCTCTGAATTTGCCTATTCTACATATTCCATGTAAGTTGGAATTGCACAATACTTTTCCTTTCTTGTCTGGCTTATTTCACTTAGCATAAGGCTTTCGAGGTTCATCCATGTTGTGTATGTATCAGATTTTCATTCTTTGTTAAGACTGAATAATTTCCCCTTGTGTGTACGTCCCCCCCGCCCCCATTTTGTGTGTCCGTTCATCTGTCGGTGGACACTTGGCCTGCTTCCATCTTTTGGCTGCTGTGAAAAGGGCGCCTATGAACATGGGTGTAGAAGTATTGTCTTGAGTCCCTGCTTTCAATTATTTCAGGTATATACCTAGGAGTGGGGCTGCTGAGTCATCTCTCCATTTATATTTGAGGGACCAATGAATGAACGACCATTGTCAGCAGAGACTCCAATTTGTGCAAAGGCACTAAAGCACAGCACAGCCCGTGTAACTGTGCTGTCAGAAGCTATTCGGAATGGCTCCTCTGGGGGACCCACAGATGAGGCCACAGGGGCAAGAGCTCTCCTGAAAAACCACCATTTTCACCTTCTGAGTGTGCTTAATCTGATTAAACTCCCAGGAACAGCCACAATGGGACTGGTTCCCAAATATTCCTCTTCCTTGACATCCAGGACAGAGGTCACCCAAAGAAGCAAACCGCCCATGGACTGCTGACAAGGCAGCCTCAGCCCCACCCCTTTTTCTGTCCATCCAGAAAGATCTCAAGCTAAGGAGACATGTTCTTTGGGAACAATCATTCTTATGTATAAGAAGAGACCAACGCTCAGCATTTTACTCTGAACAACTCTGTGACCCACACCTCAGTCAATGGAAGCAAGTTAACAGAGGTGCAAGAATCTTCTGCAGCCTCTGTCTTGTGGATACACCCCACGTGGGTCAGCTGACTTTAGTGACGAGCTCCATTAGCCAGGGCAAAAATATGGGGAAAAGCGGGGGCTGGGGGGGGATGACGTTTCCATTTTTCAGATAAAGACTGAGAAGTGGCCCCCAGGGGTAGAGTGGAGGCAGAGGACAGATCTCCAGGGAAAGGTCAGCCTTGAGAGACAGATGTGAGAGTCATGGACACACAGGACGAGACGAACCAGCTAGGGATATGGCTTCGGAAAGAAAGAGTACCAAGGCCAGAAGTCTGAATAAGAGATAAGTCATCGGAGAGAAGAATAGCAAAAATTAGCGGTCAAGGGAAGCAGTTCAGGGAGGGGTGATCGACAGAACCCAGCAGCACTGAGGCATGGTGCAAGGTAAGGATGCCATGGGGTCTGAGAGCTGGGAGCAGTCTCAGGGGAGCAGGAGGCACTATAGACATGTTGAATAGGGAAGGGAAGGGATGCAGTGAATTCCAAATGGCCGCCACATTTGGTAAAGGATGCGACGCACGGTAGGCGCTCAAATGTCTGTTGCATCTGTAAATGAGGGAATAAACACACCCTTGGAAAGAAGCAAGTAGAACTATTGTCACTGCCGAATATATGACCGTCTATATTAAGAGTGGGAGGGGTGCCTGGGTGGCTCAGTCTGTTAAGCGTTCAACTTCGGCTCAGGGCATGATCTCTCAATTCACGAGTTCCAGCCCCACATCCGGCTCCGTGCTGACAGCTCAGAGCCTGGAGCCTGCTTCAGATTCTGTGTCTCCCTCTCTCTCTCTCTGCCCCTCCCCTTCTCCATGCTCTGTTTTTCTCTCTCTTTCAGAAAAAAAAAAAAAAAAAAAAAAAACATTGAAAATTTTTTTAAAAAGAGTGGGAGATGGGCATATTTACAATCACTAATTAGTTACAGAAAAACCTCGATTTTTTTTTTTTTTCAAACCAGATGAACACTATTTAGTGAGATGACAGTAAAGTCGCCCATACTTATAATGAATGCAGCGAATCAGACCACGAAGTACACTAGAAGGTGATTATTAGATACTCAGGGCTTTGAAGATCTGATGATCTGGAAGAGTAGACCTTGTTCTGACTCGGGCCCACCTCACTAAAGGCAGAGCCAATAGTCTAAATACTTTTGGGTTATCTCACATGTTTAAGAATACGGGCGAAAACAGAAAAGATGAGGACCATCGAGAGGCCAACCATCTGAATTATGGGCTGGTTTACCTCAGAAAATTAAACCGAGAACCTTCCTTCAATCCTCTCAGGGGCCATGAGCTGAGGAGTGTGATGAACCCAACTCCGTGCACTGGACATAAGGAGAAATGAAATAAAATTAACACCAATCTGCCACATTACAAAACAAAATACCTCACATCCTTGTATCCCGCTTTGGCTCCAGAGTGGGTCTTACTGATAACCTGGGACTGTCTCCAGAAAGACTGGAGTCAAGACACACAGAACCAGTGTTCCCCTGGGGGGTCCCGCACACCTCTGTCACTTTGAAAGGAGTGGCGGGGCGGGGGTGCGGGAGGCCTAGGTAATAGACCCTCCGAACTGGCCCTTCTCCCTCCAACCTCCTTATCTCGGTTCCACAAGTCTGTCAACTTACTCCTCCGAAAATGCTATTTGCATCCTATCACTCTAGACCTCAAGTCTTCAGTGAGTTCTTATTTGTATTTAAAAAACAACGCAAACTCTTTAGGCTAATGCCATGCTAATTCTAGACTCCCTAGATTCTTGTCTTAACGGTCTTCTATGAATTCTCCAACCAAACTGACCGGCCATTGTCCTCCAGAAACTCAACCAGGGGGTCCTGCCTCGATGCCGTGTCTCGTGGGAGCCCCTCCCTGAAGGGTCTTCTCAACTAGTGGCTCCATCCGTGACCTTCCTCCTCACAGGAAGATACGTATCTAATCTAAGCTTCTTGGGGAGGTAGGCAAAGCATTAAGTTCTTGTGTTTCCCATTGCATGGCATGGTGCTATTCACACAAAGGCTCAGGGAAAATAATTAAATGCATGAATAGAAAAGTGAATATGAATAGGGGCACCTGGGTGGCTCGGTCGGTTAAGCGTCCAACTCCATTCAGCTCAGGTCATGATGTCACCACTCGAGAGTCTAAGCCCTGCATTGGGCTCTGTGCTGACAGCCCGCAGCTCCAAGCCTGGAGTTTGTTTCAGATTCTGTCTCTGTCTCTGCCCCCTCCGCTCATGTCCTCTCTCCTCTCTCTCTCTCTCTCTCTCTCAAATAGAAATTAAAAAAAAAAAAAAAAATTAAAAAAAAGAAGAGTGGATAAATAAAAGAGGAGCTAAGTAAAATCCAAAGTTGTAATGATTTTTGGAAACTAGATGTATTCACTGGGGGGCTTTTAACCTGCACTCAGACTTCCTCACGCAATAAAGAAATAGGCTGTCTCTTATTATGACACATAACCGAAGTGCAGCAGGAGGGAGAGTATCAGGGCTGGTTGATAAGTGACTCAGCACAGCCACCAGCAATGCAAGCCTTTCCTATTCTCCCTGTCCCACACCCACCCGGCCGGCTTCATCCTAAGCGGGTGGCCCCACGGCTGTGAGAGCGGCTGCCAGCCGCGACGGGGGGTCATGGGTGTTTTTGTTCGAACCTGGCGGGAGATAGCACACTTCCCTACACGCATCCCAGGGAAGTGCCCTGCGGACGACAGCGGCTTGGGCTGCAATTAGGGGTGAAGTCAGACCACTTAAGACACGTAGACTTCCCTGGACGGTTTTCTAACGAGACCAGACAGAGACACCCTTGCTAACAAGTTGCGTCACCTGGCATGGATGACCTCATCGAATCACCGCGTGTGAGGTAGGCACGATTGCTCCCATTTCACTGAAGAGGAAACTGAGACACAGCAATGTCTCGGAACTTGTTCGGCTCACGCAGGTTTCAAGCAATAGAGCCAAGATTTAAAACGTGGGTTCCTAATAACTTCATGGCTTACAAGATGACCTAACTGGGAGGCTGTAGAAAAGTGCTACTGTCCTGTTTACCAAAGTCAAGAGCCAAGAATTCTTGCCATTAATCATTCCTTAAAGGAGAAATCAGCACCACCCCACCCACTCCACCCTCCAATAAGCAAAAACATAAAAGTGTTATTTGGGAACACTTACTTATTATCACTTCACATGCCTGAAATTAGGTAATCAGATTAAAAATTAATCATGAAAATGAACAAATGGGGACTCCAATAAAAGGTAAATAGGTGCCAGGCACTCTCTTAAGCACATGTCATGTACTTTATCATTAAATAGTCACAAAAACCCAGTGAGGTCATACTATTTCCAATTTACAGATTGAGAAAGTGAAGCCCAGGGAGGTTACATAACTTGCCTAAGGTTAACTAGCCAACACCTGGCAGAACTAAAATGTAAACCCTTCCTCTTAAAACCTATTCCAAATCCCCTCCATACATTAATAATTCTTCTATCTGTTATCTCTATCACAAACCTGATCGGGTTCCAAGCAAATTAGGAATGAGTTTCTTTTCCTGGGACAGTCTCCCATCTGTCCCAGGAAAAGAAGAAGGAGACGCCAGGTATGGCCTCTGGAAACCAGGCAATTTTTTTGAAACACCTGCTTGGCCCTCCAAAGCATGCCCTCTCAAGGTGGGAGACATCACCCCTAATGGGGCACAAATTAATTCTCGGGGGCCAAAAACCACAGATATTATCACGGTTTGTGGCTTTCCAAAGGTGAATGCTACCCATCAAAAGCTTACTTCTCAGTATTTCATTTCCTTCAATAGGCAGAACTTTAATCGAAGCTAATTTTTCTCCTGAGGGAGGTGATAATGAAAAAAGTGATTGAGAAACACAGCAAGAATCCACTGGGAAATGAACTAAGACTGAGCATGCCCCCCCCCCCACCCACCGCTGCCGCTGTACCCACACTCCTTCCCTGAATCTGAATCTGGGCAATGTTGGCTGCTAACCAGGTGGAGGGGATGGGGCACACTTTGGGAAGCGCTGCTTCAGACCACAGTCCCCGCCACCAGGCCGCACTCAGGATGGGGTGTGAGCAGGAGAAAATCCTTGCCGATTGCATTTTCTTTCTTGCCTTCTGAACTCAGAAGGTCCTGATGCTCAGCTCTGCTCCAACCAGGCCAAGCCTGGGGGAAACCTCCACCAGAGAAGAACAGAAAGAGAAAAGCATCTGTCTACACGGTTTTTTGTCCCCCTTGCAATCTACACGCAGCAGCGTTACCCAGCCACCCCCTCCCCAAACACACACTCTGCCTGCCGTTAGTACATCTCGTGGGGTTTCAGGCCTGTGTCCGTGAGGATATGGGGACGGATTTATTCAGCAGGAATGTGGTTACAGACAAAGGAGAAGGAGGAGGGGAAAGAAGCAGAACTCTGCCAGGAATTCCTCTTGCAAAGGGAATCTGCTGAAGAAGATAAGGAGAAACGGAGACTCGGAAGGTGGAGTGAGTCCCCCAAGTTGCAGGGAGTTAACAGCAAGGCTGAGCACAAAACCCGGAGAGCCGAGCCGGGGTGCTCTCTGCCTATCTGCACAGCCTCTTACAGCCAGGAGTTCTTCTAATAGCACGCACTAAAAGAAAATACTCCAGAACGCTGAAATTGCCAGAGCACCAGCACCCTTTATAAAGATTTCTGTGCTGCACATTTTCATCTCCTCCACTCGGCAGGAAGGACCACCTTCTTGGTCCAGGTTTCACCCACTCGAACCTAAGCCACCAACACTTGCCTGTAACAAAGCATTTCCAAGCTGGGGTTTTGGAGGGGGGCCTACAGGCTATCTTTGACCACCTCCTCCCTTGCCCCTCCTCAGCCCAGTGGGTATTTTCCGAGCGCAGGCATTTGGTTTGGCCCTCGCCTAGTGTCCACAGGCGTCCTTGACTGATGAAACAGACATGTCTCCAGCGTGATTTGTTTGTTTGTTTCTTTTGCTGTCCCCTAAAGATATCTGTACTGGATTCTTCATGGCCGAGGATCTTAACCTCCTTCGTTTCCGACATGGCACCCAAAACTGCAAGAATCCCTAAGTGCACAGCATCTTGCTTTATGTGGCATTTCCGCGGACATCTATAAAAATCAAATTCAAAGTTTAATTTCCATCTTTGGGACCAGTAAGTATTTTCATCAGAGATTTTTATTTCACTTAGTGATTTTTTTTCTTAGTGCTTTCTCTAAAAAAAAATTATTTTGGATGTGAGCGGGTGTGCAAGGGCAAGGGTATGGAATGATGTTTCTTTGATTATCCCACTTAATCAACAACCCCAAGTGTCACCCCAGAGCATCTTACGCATTGCTAAACCATGTGTTTGCAATCGGCAGTTGTTCTGCGAGCCGGGCTAGCATACGTTTTTGGCTTTTGAATTCAATTTCAGCAACCTTGAGGAGGCCCAACATAGCTGGGCAGGAGTTTGAATGGCATTAGCTTAATTTGGATTCTATAGAAGCCCCTCTGTAGAGCCCCTCTTCACCCCTCTGTTCCAGGACATCCGTTTGCACGTGCACGCCAATCTCTCTTAGTTGTGGGCCTCTTAGGCCTGGATGGATAAAGCGAAGGGAGCAAACAAGTCCACTGTCTGATTGACCGAAGCGTGTGTCTGCATGAAAAAGCCTGGGCATTTTTACATGATGAGGATAGTGAAGCCGGCAAGGTTTCTGCCGAGCCCTGGCTTTTAATTAGTCAGTGACGCTTGATAAATTGCTCACCTCTTGGGCTGTATCTTCACATCCTCAGACATCTGGAGGGAAACTGGAAAGGAAACGTCCTGCTCATTCCAAAGAGCCAGATGTGTGCCATCACGCAGAAGGAATGTCCAGATGCCGGACGTCTCCACTGTATTCCTCCAAGCGAGCCTTTCCTGTAGTCTTTTGGAAAGTCAGATGAAGAACTTTTTTTTTTTTTTGGTTTTTTTTTAACGTTTATTTATTTTTGAGAAAGAGAGACAGATAGTGAGTGGGGGAGGAGCAGAGAGAAAGGGAGACACAGGATCAGAAGCAGGCTCTAGGCTCTGAGCTGTCAGCACAGAGCCCAACGCGGGGCTCGAACCCATGGGCCACGAGATCATGACCCGAGCCAAAGTCGGAGCCTCAACCGACTGAGCCCCCCCCAGGTGTCCCTAGATGAAGAACTTCTAACTGAGACTTTCTGCACTTCAAACCCTTTAGCAGAGATAGGGACATAAGTGAATAAACTCATTTTATTAATGAGACTAAGGAATTCTCTCTTTTTCAAATTAGAATTCTGTGTTTAAATGGACTTCATTACATACATGGAGTGTGTAAGAGTAATAACCTGAGTGTGTGTGTGTGTGTGTGTGTGTGTGTGTGTGTGTGTGTTGGTTAGAGCAGGGATTTTGAAATAAGGCTACCAGTCACTATTACCTGAAAAGGTTTCTAGAAACACAGATCCCTGTTCCAAACTGGATCTGTTGAACTAAAGAACTGTATCTGTTGAAATTCCAATTTTGGAATTCAGAAATCAGTATTTTTTAAATGCACCCAGTTGGTTGTGGCATCGGAGCAGAGTGGCATTTGGGAACCAGAAAGTGAGGAAATGGAAACTCAGTCACAAAGCTGGGTAAGTGGTGAGGCTGAACATCCAAGATCCCAGGCTAAAGTCTTGGTTCTCGTTCAATTACAGGCTCCTGCCTGGCCAAGGCAGACGTCATTCCCAGAACACTTCCCCTCAGCTCTGAAGTCTCCAGTTGATTAGAGCTGAATCGGGAGATTAATCTATCCTCTGATCTAGCCCAACCTGTTTGTTTTACAGATGAATAAACTTTGACCTAAAGAGAATAAGTGACTCTTCTGGGAACACCCAGATGAGAACTTAAATTTCCTGATTTTGTCAGAGTTCTTTAAAAAGCACCACCTTTCTGGTTTAGTAACTAGCTCTCCCCATGACTTAAACATTAAAAAGTCCCCCTAGAAAGATAGCCACATTTAGTGGTGCTCAATTAATTTCCTAAAAGTTCCAGGTTTAAGGATCTCTGCAACTAAGACCTTCTAGAATCCCATAGTGCACCTGGGCTTTGTGTTTGTTTGGTTGTTTGTTTGTTTGGGGGTCTAGATAAGAAATATTTCCAAATTTATCTCAGAAGTCTGCTTTTGTGATCCCAGCTCCATGAGCGTTTCTTTAGGGGGTGAAAAGTTTTCAAATGATTACCTCGTGGCACTTGGAGACTCCAGACACATGTTTCGACAGTTTTCCCTGAGGCTCCCAACTCACATGTTGCTTACTGCTAAACTGTGAGTTAATATGACTGCTTGAGATTTAGACCTCAACAACCCGCCCACTGACATACTCTGGAAGCTTCCTCTCTCCATCCCACACACAAGATTTTACTGTTGACACTATTACATAACTTACCTCAAACTCAGATTGCCAAGACGGGTGCATGGGGCTCCTACTGTCTTCTGAAGTGTAAGCCGTGAATATGTCTGGATTCACAATTGCCTCTCAGCCTAAATGTGTACACTGAAGGTTCAGGTCACTGAGGTGGAAACTTCACGCTGAAGACTTCTACTGAGATGTGTTTCGGTGTGTGCCTGCAGGGCGGCAAATGTGGCGAAGGCAGATGGGTCAATGACCTGGTTCCTGCTGTGCTTCCCTGACAATGGCCAGATTTGTCCTCATTTCTTCAAGGATTTGGGGACTTTCTCCTTCCCTTCCAAGCTCGAGGCACCAACAATTCTTATTTATTAGAGAAACAACACCTCATACAATTATGGGAAAACTAGGGAAATAAGGCTCCAAAAGAGGGATTCTTTAACTGGAACTGGAGAGGGATGGCACCAATGGACGAGTCAGCACTTGCCAGAGTTTCTGGGACCAGGCACGCCCATCTCCCAAGAGAAGAGCCCGTGGAGAAGGCTGTGGAAGGCAGGTCTCGCTCACTGGTGGCCAGCAGGGCCAGCTGTCAGGAAGGTGAGTTGGATGTGGAGTGGGGCACAGCAAGGATAGTGTGGGCCCCACCAGCAACGGTCTGACGGACTCTCACTGAGGAACAGAAAGAACAGCCCGGAATCCACTCGTGTCTCTACATTTGTCTCTCAACACATCTAACCACAACTATCTTCAGAAAGTAATGGCTGCTGCTTTCTTTCCACCTTTCAAACATCACACGATTTCTCTTTGAGTGTGTCTAACTCACATCCACACAATGACCCTTGGGAACATGTTTCCAGTTTAGCCACGTTAACACCGCACAAAACCACCACAGGCCACCCTTTTTCAATGAGACATCCATATATACCTTTTGAAATCATTTTCTAAGCTTATTTATTTTGACAGAGAGAGAGAGAGAACACAAGAAGGGGAGGGACAGAGAGGGGGAGAGAGAGAATGTCAAGCAGGCTCCATGCTGTCAGTGCAGAGCCTAACACGGGGCTCAATCTCACAAACCAGGAGATCCTGACCTGAGCCAAAATCAAGAGTTGGCCACTTAACAGACTGAGCCACCAGGCACCCCTTAGATCATGTTTAATTCCCAAGCAAGGATGATAACAAAACTATGTTTTCGCCCAAAATGATGCAACTACCATCACATGACCAACGACAGACTAAGTCTCTCCCTAAAGCAGCCTACAAAATGCTATTTGTTACTTCATCCATATTTGGAGGACCACGTCATGCAATCCTTTATAAGGTAAGACTGAAGTTTTTTCCTCTCATTAACCTGGTCATAACGAATCCCCAGTGATGCCATATGTGGATGCTGAGAAAGAAGAGGCAATAAAACAGGACTGGGAGCCATGAGTATCTGAGCCATTTGTTTGTATAATTTACATGTGGCTTATCACAAGACTGATACTGTACATGTTACATCCAACTGATGACAGAAAGCTGTGCCTGCCCAACTTTATGACTTGGTCTGTCAGAAAACACTCAGTTCATGATGGACAGTATGGATTCCGTGGTTAAGTGTTCAGTCTCTGCTCTATAAAGACATAGAGACTGAGTCTTGTAATGAGCCAAAATCTATTTTTCAAATGAAGAGCCATCTGCAGAACGGCATGGCTATGCTCCAAAATCCTAAAGAGCTTCTCTCTGATTCATTCACAAGGAGCTGCCAAAGCTTCAGGATAGCATCCATGTGTCAGAGACATGAAGCGTCGTAAAATATCCTTTATCGCAAGGTCAACCTGGCAACCCAGCTTGCCAAGCCATCTACCACAGAGCCTTCTTTTGTTGGGGGACCCACTCAGAACTGGTACCTTGTGGAGTCTTTCAATGAATGATGCAGATGACATGACCAAATGAAGTGCATGCTGCCTTCAACATCCAAAAAGACCCACTATGGGGCGCCTGGGTGGCGCAGTTGGTTAAGCGTCCGACTTCAGCCAGGTCACGATCTCGCGGTCTGTGAGTTCGAGCCCCGCGTCAGGCTCTGGGCTGATGGCTCAGAGCCTGGAGCCTGTTTCCGATTCTGTGCCTCCCTCTCTCTCTGCCCCTCCCCCGTTCATGCTCTGTCTCTCTCTGTCCCAAAAATAAATAAACGTTGGAAAAAAAAATTTTTTTAAAAAAAACAAAAAGACCCACTAGACTTGTGTCTTCTCCTTGGTGGAGGAAGTGCAAGATATGGAGAATTCTCTTTCAGCGTGTTTTGGCGCCTAGAAAGTCTCCCTGAGCTAAAGCTCCTAAATTTCTATGGGATCCATTTCCACCCTCAGTTACACATATGTCTCACCGAAGTGTCTAGGTCAGTGTCCCCCAACTTACTTCTCGCTCACTAGGTCCAATCAGCATATCGTCAATGGCCATCAGTATAATAGATCAGTATGATGTCCCATGGGATAGAGGGACGAGCAAGAGCCCTGTGGATTAGATTATGACAGAGGACTAGAGACGAGTTTGTTTCAGTGAAGGTACATTGTTAGCCCTGCCAGCTAAGCGCACGCTGCTTCTGATAAC